GGAAGTATGAGGAGCGGCTGTAGTGGAAGTATGAGGAGCTGCTGTAGTGGAAGTAAGAGGAGTTACTGCATTTGATGTATGAGAAGCTGCTGTGTTTGAAGTAGGAGGAGTTATTGCAGTTTAAGTACAAGAAGCTGTTGTAGTTGAAGTAAGAGGAGTACCTGTAATTGAAGTACGAGGAGCTGCTGTGACTGGGGTATGAGGAGCGGCACTAGGCCTTGTGATGACAGAGGTGGTTGTAATGGTGACAGATTCAGAGGTAATCCGTGAAGCTGAAGGTTTTGAGACAAAAGCCATCGGACTTTCTTTAGGAGTTGAAGAGAGACCCGTAGTAGGCCAGGAAGGAGAGGAAGTAGAAGTAGTACTGGAGGAGCTTGAAGGCATGCTGGGTTTCTCTGTGGACCAGAGTCTGGAGGGTGTCGGGGTTGTAGTAGTTGTGTTGGTTTTAGCAACGTCTGGTAGAGGACTGAATTTGGAAACGGGAGTGTTTGTGGGTAAATCTCTGAGAGGTGTCACTGTGTTTATAGGAGACAGTAACCTACAAGACAGAAAGAACAGAGGTAAGAGTTACATCTAGACAACCTGACCCACCTGTGACTTCAAATCCAACACCTCACTATTTAGAGCTCCTCTAAATGCTCTTTCAGATCGCATACTTGATGTGACTACAGCTGTATGAGTTCTGATGATGCCAGAGATGGTGTGTAATTCTGGGGGCACGTGATCTGATCTGGGGAGTCTGGATCGGGTGGCATTGGTGGGGAGTTCACCGTTCCATTTCCCTCAGTCACACATAACATCACTGGACTGCTAACAACCTCATAGACAAGCTCCCTCCTTAGGGTTTGGGAGCTGTTTATGAAGGAGATACTTCAGGTAATGGGTCGGGTCTTCGTTCAAGATCAGGGACGACCCCAGGCTGCATAATTTCAGTCCTACAATGGTAACAAATCATGATAAAGAGCAAAAGAGAGGACAGGCTGAACTTAATCATAAAATAAAGATCCTGCTGTCCTGCTGTTTTTTTTAGTTCTATGGCCCCCCAGCGGTGACCTCGGCTTGTTGTAGTGTCTTTGATTCGAAGCAGAAACATCACCTACACATTCCCCATCGTTATTACTTATTTACTGGTTTAAATTGTCCTTGCCACCCCCTCTTGCCCAATTTTTCCCCCTCACTCTTTTTTTAAATTTTATTTATTTATTTTAAAATTGTTTTGTTTGTTTTTTGTTTTCCTTCATAGACTGTATAAGTTGAAGATACCCACACTTCACACACAACAATCATGTAAAAGCCATTTCCTTGTAACGTCATGTATCTATTGTCTTGTCTTCCATGTCCTGCCCTGTTTTGTTAATGTGCTATTCTTCATGTTAGTATGGTCCTTACTTTGCACAGCTCCTGTGATAGAGCTTCCCGTCCACTAGATGTCGCTGCACCAAGTGAACGTGGTTGTTACAGGACACACATTTGTTACTCAGTGTGCCTGTCTGATGAGATTTCTCACCCACCGCTTCCTAAAAGAGGGGAAGAAAGCATGAGGGAAGTTTCATCAAGTGGAAATGACTTCATTCATGACAAGCCACTGATTTATCACTAGACTGGCTGTAAGTGATCAGAGGCAATGTGGGTTTTTTGTTTGTTTTGTAATAGCAGTATGGTTCAGACACAGGTATTTAGGTCTTTGATATGTTTGCCCTTGATGAACTTCCACATTCCTCATCAGCAAAGTGATTTTAAAAAATTACATTAGCTAGAAACTCAAATTTGATACATAGCTCAGTGAATCCTCTGTAAAGTGTTCAGGCTGTGAAATTTACCTGAATGGCATATTTGGCTTGTTTGGGAGCAGAAGGGGGCCTTGTGATGTTGGAAGAGCAGGGAGGGCTGTTCTCTCTGGAAGGCTTATTTGAGGTGAACACCTTAGCCACCACCGGTGGGTTCATCTTCCCACACGGTTCACCTGTGGAGCCCTCAGCCGGGCGCTTTATACCTCCCATACCACCAACTGTGTGCAAACACATAGATACACAAAGACACACTAGCAGATCATGAGGAATCGATGCGGAGACAGACACAGTGAGACATAGATACTCACTCGGGGAGCGCCCATGGAAGTAGTTGTAGTACTGTGAGACATATGTCAGGATACTGAGGCGGTCAGGGACCCTTAGAGCCACCATGTCTTCTGCATCCAACAGTGCTGGAATTCCCAGCTCCTCCTCCGCGACCTTAAATGCCTGCAAATAACACCGACTTTATCCAACAAAAAAAAGAAAAGAAGCTAAGGGAGGATTCTTTAAAATCCAGACTAGCCAAAGATGGAAATACACCAATAAATCAAAGAAAAGACACAGTTCAGACAAGATTTCATATCTGCTGGCTGACCGGTTGGGGAGCACAGCTAGTGCTGCAAGCCTGCTGGAGATGGCTTTTATGGTAAATACACCAACCAGAGCCTTTGAATTAATATTCAAATCCGCGACTGAAACTGTTACACAGAAAGTTTTACGTTTAAGTCCTCGACAAAAAGAAAATGTTCTGACATTCTGAGGGAAATAAATGTGCTAATATGTGTCAGCGAATTTACTGTAATATATGTTAAGTCCTTTTCATTTTTGTTGTCCATTTGAATGCCTGGCTGGACTTCACATGCCACTTTCTAAAGAATAATTTGAATTCCCACACTCTGTCAAAACAAGTGCAGTCACATCCATGTCGGAAACGACTAAATGCTGTATTTCTAACAAACTTTGCACCAACATTGAGAAGAAATTCACCACTTTCTTTTGCATGGTTTAATTTGCCTGCACACCTGTCTAGCAGGTTAGATAATGGATAGTTTACATGTGGACTTATTCTCTCTTCTTCAAAATTAAGTCTGATGCTTGTCATGCTCCTGCACGTCTTCAACAACATGGCCAGATTCTGACCACAGGTTAAAGCTACACCTCATCTGTTAAGAGAAGCGAGTCAGGAATTTCCAAACTAGACTCACATTCTGTGATTTCATGGAAGCGGAAAAAACAGCAAGCAGAGGCAGGCCAACCTACGCCAGAGAGTAGCCTAATCAGTAATCCGATCATTACTGATTAGAAAGACTCACTGTTTACTTTGCTGTGCCCTGTGGCACTTTGATCTTTTACTGCTTATCGTTGTTTAATTATTCACCCTGTTGTTTCAGTTGTAACAGAATATTTTCAATCTAATACAGTTTAGCCTTAAAAGGGCAGGCGTTTGTGATGCTGATCTACTGTCTGTCTCAGAGATCTGAGGCCAATAAAGAAGCTGCTGGAACATGAAAGCAAAGAATGCAACAAAGCAGCCAAAATCACAGTGCTCAGACTGAAACACTCTGGGTTTGGTGGTAACTTCTGTTCTCTGCTGTGTGTGAGCACTTCTCAGTTTTGCAAACTCCCTGTTACCAAACATCAAGTGGTGCTAATGCAATATACAGAGGCAACACACACTGAAGTAATTCACGGCTACAAGGCATTACAGTACTTTCCTTATGAACAGTTGAGTTGTTTTTTGAATGATTTATTGATCATTTGCTCTATAAGTAAAAAAAATGTGGTTGTTGGAAGAATTTGGTGAGGCTTTGGAGAAAGATTATCAGTTGGCCTCAAGGAAGTTCTGGAAAACCGTCCGGTGACTCAGAAAGGGGAAGCAGGCTTGGCCCAGGCTGTTTGGCAGGGGAGAACTGCTGACTGGGGACAGTGTCAGGCAGTGGAAGGCGCACTTTAAGGAACTCCTGAACTCATCTAACATGTCCTCCCAGGAGGAGGAAGAGGTGGAAGACTCGGGGGAAACTTCACCCACATCTCTGGCAGAGGTCACTGAAGTAGTCAAAAGTGAAGTAGTGACCGAAAGAATAAGATCGTGAAGTGGCGAAAATGATTTTCCATCGTAGGGTGGGCGGACCTACACTTAGAGATAGAGTTCAAACATCCAGAAGGGCCCCCCTGCAGTTTGCCTACCGGGCAAACAGGTCAGTAGATGATGCAGTCAACATGGCACTGCATTGCATCCTGCAACACCTCGACTCCCCAGGGACCTATGCACAGGTCCTCTCTGTGGACTTCAGCTCAGCGTTCAACACCGTTATCCCAGACATCCTCCACTCCAAACTGACCCAGCTCTTTGTGCCTGCCCCCACCTGTCAGTGGATCACCAGCTTTCTGACAGGCCAGAAGCAGCAGGTGAGGCTGGGGAAAACCACATCCAGCACCCAGACTATCAGCACAGGCACCCCCCAGGGATGTGTGCTCTACCTGCTGCTGCTGTTTCCCTCTACACTTCAGAGGACCCCTCTACTATCTCCCAGTGGTCATCCAACATCAGCACAGCAGAGGATGTACTTCCTGCGCCAGCTCAGGGAGTTCAATCTGCCCCAGGAGCTGCTGATACAGTTCTACACAGGAATCATCAAGTCTGCTCTCTGCTTTTCCATCACTGTCTGGTTTGGCTCAGCAACCAAACAGGACAGGAACAGACTCCAGTGGCCAGTCAGGACAACAGCCTGCCCTCCATGAAGGGCCTGTACACAACATGCTTCAAAATTTATGTCTTCCTCTTCCTAATACACATTCCTTTTTCTTGTTTGCACATTCTTTTTCTTCACTTTACTCGTTGCCTTACACTGTACATGCACTTTGACAGCCACTGTACCAAAGTCAAATTCCTTGTATGTCCAACACACCTGGCCAATAAAGCTGATTCTGAATCAATTACACCTTAAATTTTATTATGACAAACTTAGAGCATTCCATTTTGCAGCACATACACTTTACAGATGATTGGTTCATTAAACACTCACAATAATGCAACATTATGAATTTCAGCCTGATTATGCAAATATAGGCCATTTCTTTTTCCTCTCTTGGTGCAAAAAAGTGTTGTTCCGGTGCATTCTGGCAGAACTACACCTATAGTTGGTACTTAATTTTCTTGTCAGTCAGGAAATTCCAGTATAATTCTCCATTAAAATGCAGATGGGATGAGTCAATTATGTAAATAAGGTTACAAGTCTATAGCCACACAACTCTATGAGGCTGTAATTAGGCACAGTGCTGCTTTGAGCTATATGCCATGTCAAGTGTAGCCTGTTAGCATGCTAACATTTGCTAATTAGCACTAAACAAACTACAGTTGAAGCTGATGGGAATGTCACTGTCTGATTGACTGCCCCTGATGCCACTTCTGCCAAAGTTGAAATACTTGTCAGTATTAATGAACAAAAAATGAAAATCAATAACAAATTGTTGCCTTAAACACAATAAACATTTGTATTCATATCTCCAATAGTGCTGTTGTGGAGTACTTGGCATGATTTGAGGGGGGACGCCACTGCTACTGGTCAGGGACCAACGTCCTGGAGCAGTCAAACTCAGCCAAAGAAAGTGTGCGTCTCATTTTTACATGGAATAAACAATTTCATTCTTAAACATATGATTTATTATTTCATAGTACTGGGGGTTAATATACTTTTTACATGTTTTTCAAATGTGCCACCCCTTAAGAGTCTGTGCACTGGCCTGGCCACCCCATCCAAAATTTACTAGACCCACCCCTGCTGCTGGTGGCGCTAGAGGAAAAGTCAGGATATCATTTAAGTCAGTAAGATTCATCCTTAGGGGACCATAAATTTTTGCACCAAATTTCATGGCATGTAAGTGTTAAAAAATTTCAGACAGACCAAAGTCATGGACTGTCCAACGTCCATAGAGCCGCGCCACAAGCATGACTAAACAGTACTCTAATTAACTGGAGAATCAGGGCTGGGAGGCCTAGGTAACAAAACCCTGGTTATAAAAGGAACAAGACTGTCAAACAACGTGCATGTTAAGGTGTGAATGTAAACATGTCTTACCAGTTTGTTGTTCTCATAGACGCTCTCCTTGTTCAGTGAGTCAAAGTTGCTGTAACAGAGGAGAAAATATGAATAATAAAACATGTGATCTAGCATCCCTTTCTCATTTATGTCTAGACTAAAACATGTCACCCTTTACAGAACTCATGACTGCATGAACATATCTATAGTGAGTCAACAGTAGCCTTTAACCAGTGTTTAGTGCTTCAGCCCATGTAAACATGAAATGAGCCTCCAAGTTGCTCTGGCTGGTGTGAAAAACTGGAATGGGAAGAACTGGAGCAGCTCCTTGTGTGTTCTTGGAGTGAAAATACAACTGTCTGCCATAAATAACCTTTCTGGAACAAAACCAGATGCCTCCGTGTGAAACGTTAGCCAGAGGTTGGTGCAAGGTGAACAGATCTCATTCAAGCCGCCGTGTACCAAAACTCATAAGTACTTTCCAAACTACCGTTTCCTGGTAGTTTTCACAAAATACTGGGAAACCACCAAGGAGGTTTTTTGTTTTGAAGATAAAGACTAGAAGTCTTTAATTCTGGTTTCATGTCAGACATGTAGACAATTGAAAAATTAGTCAGCAGACAGACAATTAACAAAAATGCTGATCACTGATTGATCAATAAGTCCTGTACCAAACAAACAATTTGTAGTTCTAGTTTCTCCCATGTGAGGAAAAAAAAATGATCAAGAGATAATAATCATGACAAACATTAAAGACATCACTAGATGACATAATTTCAAACAAAGCTAAATTACATTTGAACATGGGCCAGTTTGACATGTAGACAAACTGGTTGAGACCCAGTGAACAGCTGAGATTTGTGCAAATGAATTCACAACATAAACACAACCAGCTTTTGGAGAAAGTCCAGGTCAAGCCAGGCGTCTCTGTGAAAGCAGAAAGGTTTTCAGTGCATAGATACATAAAATAATTAAACATACAAAGTCTGAGGAGAGTAAGCATGACCATAAGAGTTTTACCAGGCCAAAGCCAGAGACTCAAACATTCAATTTCAAGTGAGCAAAACATTCTTTTATAGGAAAAAAGTATGAATATTAATATGTTGCTGGGTTTTATCATTCCAGTCCTACTAACAGGAGGTACACCTAAACCCAGTCCAGTCTGTGGTGAAAGGTCCTGCAGACCTGCTGGTGGTCTCTGGCTCCACTGAGCTCCATCCTCCTTCTTTTCCATCAGACACATGAAGCTGAAATATGTTTCATTGTCAAAGAGCTGCTCAAACCCACCATAAAGTTGAAAAACAATGACCTCCTTCTTTCCTACGCAGCTCGGGTTGTAAACAAACATCGTTTCGCTTTAAGTCGCGGTTTGAACGGTGTGTTCGGTTCCTGATTGTGATCCGGTATCGGTCGTGTTTCGGCGCTACTTACACGAGATCCGGTCTGTGTTTGTGGATGAGGGCGCAGAAAGCCAGGCCATCCCTGAAGGACGTGGTCATGTTGGTGATAGACACGTCCCGGTAGCCCTCGCACTGGATCCGGCACCACTGCTGCAGAGCCTTGACGGCCGACATCCCGGACCTGGGACTCGGACACAAAGTGCGGCTGAACCGTGGGCTGAGCGCAGCAGCGCCGCTGTAGACTGACCGAGTTCCCCCCTGTCCCGCCCTCCAGCGACCAACTTCGGAAAGTTTCCACAGACAGAATCTTGGACACGCACGATCCCGAAAGCGAGAAGTAGCGTGAGAATATGTGGGAATCACCTGAGAAAGCGAAAACAATGCGTTTGACACCTGGGCGATAGTGACGCGGCCTGGGCGGAGTTGTCACCGCCTTCCTGCACACACACGTAGACCAAACCATATGGCCATGGGCAAACCTTTAGACACGAGTTTGTGAACCCAGGTTTCCCCAAACTCACCCTTAGGAAACGTTTAAGTACAGAGATGATTAACATCTTAGTTACAGGCCTGTTTCCTGCTCATTCTGTCTGCTGTGCTTCAGAGAATTGGCAGGAATACAATCCTGGTGGAGAAATGCCAAATTTAACTTTCATTTATTCTACTTTTAAGTCTACTTTGAGTGCAGTGCTGTGGGTAGTTGCATAATGCAAAGTCCCCCTCAGGTCACTGTAATTACCAACAGAGGAGATGCCTTCATCTCAACACTGCTGAGTCAGCTTCATAAAGACAATAGGTGATTATAACAGAGGCCTAATCAAGTACACCCTATTTCCTGCTACAGTAGGGAAATGTTATTTATCTTTAGGAGTTGTAATGTGCAGCTGTTTTAGCAAATGGAGGACAATCCAAACCAGTTAACCAGGTGTGGTTGTGATTTGTGTTATTCGGCCTGTCTTATCCTGTCTGGGTGTGTTGGAGCAGGCGGGGCTCATGGTGCAAGCTCACTGACTCATCTGACACTTGCACACATGCAGCAGACTGATTCCAATACCTGTTTACACTGCGCCAGGGCAGTGTGATGTTTGTTAGCAGAATAATCTTCAGATTTCAGTACTGGTGACAGCAGCACCACCATGCACCATCAGCCCATTTATAAAACCTATCTGTCATATAGGATCTCTTCCACCAGCTGAATATTCCATAATACATATTTTTTGTAGAACATTTTTTTCCACTATTGCTTCTTCACGTTGGATCAAATTTTAAAATCCTCAAAAATAATTTAGTGAACACCCTTAGGGATAGGGTGCGGAGCTCAGTCACCTGTGAGGAGCTCAGAGTAGAGCCGCTGCTCCTCCACGTTGAGCGGAACCAGTTGAGGTGGCTCGGGCACCTGTTTAGGATGCCCCCTGGACGCCTCCCTGGGGAGGTATTCCAGGCATGTCCCTCCGGGAGAAGGCCTCGGGGAAGACCCAGGACACGTTGGAGAGACTAAAGGAGGTGTGTGGGGAGAGGGAAATCTAGGAGGCTCTGCTTGGGCTACTGCCCTCATGACCCGGTCTCAGATAAAGGGACGAAGATGGATGGATGGAACAAATATAAGATACAAAATGTAAAATGATTTGAGTAATGTAAGTAAATGAATCTTGGAATTTGTCTTTGTGTAAAGAGACAAAGAGTGGTTGTTTTGATGTGATGACTGATCCCAAACATATTTTGGACAGGTGTATAAGCTGTACCTTTAGCCCACGCCCTTTCAGTCTGTTCTAAGGATTATCCATGTGTTCTTTCTTATTATGTCTTATGAGATCATTGTTAGAAATAATGCAAGTCTGTACAGTTAGAACTGACTGAAATACATTTCTTGACTTAATTCATTTTTCTATAGCTTCTTGTTATTCCATATCATTTTCTAAAAACTGGCTGTCAAATTTGTAGGTATTTGATATAAATCAGTATTCTTATTTTATGGGTGGCGGCACAGTGGAGCAGTGATTAGCACTGACGCCTCACAGCAAGAAGGTTCCAGGTTCCAGATTGCAGTAAATCCTCCTTCATAAAAGTAAAGTCTCGTTTTTGTTGAAACTGTTTTAGTTAGATGTTGATTCAACCGTGTGATCATCTTAGAGGCTGCTGTTGAACTGTACTGACACGTGTTTGGATTATTTTATCCACCCTATTTTTAACAGTTAGGCTAACGTGTTACATGACTCAACTTGACAGATCAAGCGAAGGCCAAATGCCCCAACCGAAACACCATCTGGAAACAACAGGTATGTCTCAGCAGTGTGTAAACCGTGACACTAAATCATGCTTTTGCTTTTGGAAATCAGGTTAAATTTTCCCGGAATGTGCAAACCCGCAAATTCAACATGCACAAAATTTCCTGTGAAGTCCTCTGTCTTGTAAAGTCCCTCTCACACATGCTGGCCATACAAACACCCCCCACGCAAATACTTAATCCTCCCAAATCCAGGCAGGAAATGCTCTTGTCAGTGGAGCAGAATGCTTTTGACAGAGCCCCCCCTTTGTGCTCTCTCCTCCCCCCTCTGCTGAATGATATACATGCCCTCCACAAACAGCCATCTGGAAACTCTTAGCCTGTGAAGGTTTGCACAGAGCCAGTAGTGGAGGATAATTCATCTCAAGGGGAATATGGGACAAGAGGTCTTCTGTTACTTTCTGCAGCAGTGTGTTTGTACGTGTGTTAGGGACAATGAAGTTCACGTTTGGTGTCATGGCTCATTAGAAGTGGTCGGTGCTTCTTTCCTAGTTCTGTGTGTCTTTAGCAACTGCATTTTCAGAGGGTGAAGGCCTGAGGAATGAACACAGCCTGCAGGCTGGATGGGAAGTTGAATAAAGAGATACACTGACAAAGACAACAATGAATAAAGAAGAAGACGTGATGGGAAAGACCAGTTAGAATCCCTGACTCCAGTAAGACAGTAAGAAAAACTAAGAAATATAAGTTTGGTTCCATAATTTCAGCTAATTGACGCCAAAGTTTCAACCTTTTTAATGCCTCCAGAGTTAAGTGTAGTAAAATAGATAGGATGAACATGAACATGACTTTTCTTAGGATAAAAATGTTGTAATTCATTCTGCCAGTGGTGTAAAATGAATAAGTACAGTTTTGAAGTATCTGTACTTCACTTGTTTTCATTTGCCGGTACTTCATACTTTAACACTATACTTTAGAGGTAAATTGTGTACTTTATATGTCACAGCATGTATTTGATAACTTTAGTTACTTTTCTAGATAAAGTACAGTTTGATCCTTTTGTTCTTTTACTTCAGTAACAATTTGAATGCAGGACCTTTACTTGTAACAAAGTATTTTTATATTGTGGTATTGTTACTTTTATTTAAGCAACAATCTAAGTACTTCTTACAACACTGCATTCTACAACTATTAGTATTAATAGACAAGCCATCGTATGTTAATATTATAATAAAATGGTCAGACCTCGTGAATGTTTTGCTAAAGTATAATTTGTTCCAACTTGTAGAGGAAGGAACCAACATTTGTGATTCACATTTCTCTTTGTGTGTCAGCAGATCAGGTCAAAGTAACATTCATTGGAAATATAACGTGCATCTCACAAGAGGGCACAAACTAAATGGACCATGACTTTGTAAGTCTGTAAACATAAAAACATGTATTTTACCTACAGTGAGAACAACATACGTACGTTAAAGAATCCCCCACTTTCTTTTTTGTTGCCATGTTACTGCAATTGTCATTTTTAGCAAAGTGTGCTGATAAATAAAATCCACTAATACCTGTAGTTTTCATGTTGCTCATAAAATTTTATTTAAGCATGTAGCCAGAAATTAAACACCCAAGACTTCGTGATCAAACACTGCAAATTGTTACCATTTTATTATCAAAATGAAAGTGACCTGCGCTCTACTGGTGTCTTTATGTGCTTTTTGGTTTTTGCATTGATTACTTGAGAGCACACATGCATTGATGATTTGTTAAAATAATTTTCCATACTTGGATAAGGTGCAGAAAACCCATAACTCAGGATCACATTTCCACAGCTTTGGGATCCAATTTGGGTAAAATAAGCATATCTCATTTTGAGAACTTCACTCAACCACGTTAAGAAATGTATTAGGTTCAGAGGTGTCAAAAAATCAGCGCTGAGAAAACTCAGTGCGTCTACAGAACACACACAGCTCTTTCAGTGTCATTTTTTAGGCATTACAGTACACTAGCGTTCAGCACTGAACAAAGAACAAACCCAGAAATGCTTAGAAACAGGAATCATAAGGCACCCGTACTTACATTTACAACACTGCAGTACCAATCAGTGCAAAAATAGGCTGTAAACAGCATTAAAGCACATGACATTACATCATGAAGTCACATTTCCAGAAGGTCATCCTCCCATTTATTGCACATCATCTTTCAGGAGAATTCTATTAAAAAAAAAAAAAAACAAAAAAAAAAACGCTGACTTAATTAAACAAAACCTAAGATAAAGCTAAAGTCTTAAAGTCAAGACAGGCTCTTCTTTCAAATCTGTTTAAAATCAATTCAAGTCAACACTTCAGCCATAGGTTATGAATATTAAATGTCCTCACAGATAATTACAGCAGTCTAAATGACAGCAGGACAGTGATTTCATTTATTGTGCACCCAGTGTGAAAAGCCTCTTTGAGATGACGTTGCATGTTAGATAGAATTACCACTAACCTGATCTCACTCACTCACAGTATCTGCACTAGTTTGTCTGTCCATCTTTTCTAACAGACACTTTTGTTTTGTCTGCAGTCCAGCACATTAGAAATTAAATGAAACAGTAACTACAGCATGAGATAAAAGTGATGAACAATCACTGGAATCAATTTTGTATGCAGAAGCTCCAAGAGTGAATATTTTACAAACTCTTCGCCCTTTATGGATGGGTGCTTAAGTTACTACTTCCTTTAACATCCAGTGTGCTGGAATATGGTACCAAAAAAAACATCACCATTCTAACAGCTACAGGCTGCACTGAATGCCACCTTGTGTCTTCCATCGCCAGCTGCAAATCAAACTATCAACTAAAAACTCAACTGATCCTTTACATCCAGCTGATGGTGAAGTTCTGACTGAGGTTCAGACCAAGAGCTGCAACCGACAACACCTGCAGGGAGAGAGATCGAAACAAAGGTCAGTGCAGCATAAAGACTTTCCTCATTCACGTAAAGAAAAAGCGCACACCATAAAAATCATGACTACTACACAACACCTGCGCGTATCAGTACCTCTGTGATACACTAGACCCACTAAAACATGGACAAATTCTACTTGTTCTGTACTTTACTTAAGTATTTCCATTGTGTGCTACTTTATACAACTACATTTCAGAGGGAAATCTTGTTCTCTTTACTCCACTGCAGAATATGTTGTTACACAGTTTTAGGTTTACTTACAAAACAAACAAATGCATGAAAAATAATGTAACAGTAACACGGACCATTCAGCATAATCAGCTACTTTTACTTTTCATACTTTAAGCACATTTTGTTGCCAGTCCTGAACATTTACGCAAGTAAAATTCTGAATGTGTATTTTGAGGACAAACATGATTCTCTCCAGAATGCAAGACAAACAGCATTGGCTGTGTCCTGTATTTAATAAGATAAAAGATCTGCTGCATGTCTCAGGCTGCTGTGGTGCCTGTGGTCAGCCATCAGGTATCTCCGACACTTTATTCTGGTGGCTAAATCCATCTATGCCAACAAGTGACCGAGCACAACCACAGGTTTCAACTGTGTGTGTCTGTTAACCCCCAACTTCACCTGGTTGGTTCTGTAGGTGAACTGTGCGTCTTGAGAGTTCACCAGCACTCTGCTTGGCTTCTCCTTCACCCCGTAGAAGGAGGCCGACTCCACAGTGATGTATGAGGCCTCCACGTTGTTGTGGAGCACCTGGGACTTCATAGTTTTCTACAAAATAAGACGATAGATGTCACATAGCAACAGGCGTGTAAACGAGTATCGTCTTGACATTATAAATCTAGAATCTATGAATATGTAAATGTTTATGTGGTTGGAGAAGATGTTTCCTATTTCAGTGAAAAGCGCATTCTCAGTGTACTAGAGTTTCAAGCTTCTGTACAAGACTTATGTAAGTGGATCATGATTGAATCCTGCTTGTTTGTACATGTTTTAAACTCAGATTAAGGTAAACACAAAGAACTGCTCCCTCTTCTGCAGATGAATCTGTCTTGTAGTGTCAAACTCCGCACAATTAAGAGATGTTCACATTACAGCGGACAAACAGCTTTTACACACACCTTGCCATTGCTGTGCATGTTGTGCATGGCACAGGTTCTGTGCGGACGTCTGTGTTGTGCAGCACAGAGCGGGAGTGTGCCTAAAGTTCAAATTTGTTGAACTTTGACCCCAGTTACACATTTGTGCATGCAACCAGCCACTGTTTCACTGTGGCTTTGCCTATACTCATAGAACCCCAGGTTGCAGTAAGTAACCAGTGTTTCGGAATTTCCCCACACTACAATAAGATGATTTGCATGTCAAGCTCAGATAAAGACAGACAACCTATTAGCTAGTGAAATATCAGCAACACAAGTGCAGCTACCAAGACAGTTAAAAAAAAAAACACAGTCTGATCCTCTAAAATGTAACATTGGTGATCTACTGCTAGCAACATTAGCATTGTAGCTGCGCCACTTTGTATAGCACCCCTGGGAATTTCTATGCGAGTTTTGGGGCCGACTAGCACAGGACGCACAGCGCAAGACCCCAATTTTTCCATTGTTATGTGAACATATACCTTTAGGGTCAAACGTTCAATAAGTGAAGCAACTTTCACTTCATAACATGAAATTCTTTCTATACATCCCCCCACCCCCATGAGGCAGGTGGGTGTGAGCACCTGAGAGACCATGAAGATGATGTAGGCATACTGGTTGGTCTCATAGGTGTCAATGCTCTCTCCGTCGTCCCAGAACAGATCTCCAGTGGCCGAGCCATTATCAGAGAGAGATGACACCAGATGGAGAGGCTGACCGCTGCTCACCCACAGGGTCAGGTTGGGTGTCTGTTCACATGAATTGAAAGAGAAAAGACAAACATTATATTATAAAGCGCTGTTGAGAAGGTGTTCCCAGGTCAGATCCACTGACATCAGGTGTGAGCAGTATGTTCATATCATCCAACAAAGTCCTGGTATCTCTGTATAATCCACAGCCCCCGCAACCACAACCTTTCTATGGACAAAATAAATGAAAAGGACACTGTTGACAAAGTGTCTTGTGGATTAGCTCATTGTTTTTGAAAATACTGTTGAGTATCTGATTCATTCACTTCCATTATTTTGTGGAGGCAACTGAAGTTTCAGAGGTAATTATTATAAATTGTATCTTCAGCACGTAAAAACAAAATAACACTATGTTTATAGCTTGATACCACTTTGGGGTGAGATGTCAAATACAGTACATGTTCTGGTTTGTTCACTGGTGCAAGAACCTTTCTCTCTAGTCAAATTTCATAAACAGGTTTAAAATCGTTGAGAAGAAGAATTAAAAAATGTAAAGTAAGAGAATCCTTTTTTTTTTTTTTTTTTTTACCTGTGTCGGTATAACAGATCCTTCACGCAAATGCAGGTTGATCTTGTCAAGAGGTGCATGGCATCGAACCTCTTCACCTTTACTGCGCACAGAGTCACCCTGAGAAGAAGAAGAAGACCATACACGGACGTGCAAGTATACTCTCCGCACTACTTTGTTCCAGGGTCATACAACATAATAAAGTCTATGTGTACAAGGCTCAGTGCTGACTGTGGGTCTTACCGTGTAGTAGTCATACCACAGACCCTCTGGGAAGTAACCATCCACATAATCAGCTCCGGGTTCTAACACTGGTGTCACCAATAAACTCTTCCCCCACAGGAACTGTTTGTCAATCCCATAGGTTCTTGCATCATTTGGATACCTGTATACAGGGAACAGACAGTGAGGCAAAGATCCTTCCAGTCAAATAACAAACAAAAAAAAATGCTTAAAAGTACAAGAAAGCATTAAACACACAAAAGAGTGTGTTTTTATGTTTTACTTACTCAAACATCAGTGGTCGTGCAACAGTGTGCCCGTGAACATGCGCATGATGAAAGAGAGTGTACAGGACAGGGAAGAGAGAGTAGCGCAGCAGCAGCGCCTGTTGCATGGCCGTACGAGCCAGAGGGCTGAAAGCTGTGGGATCTTGAGGCTGTTTCCAAATCAGACAGCCAGAAGAAAAAAAAAAAAGTCTAATTTCTAAAGACGTGGGCACGAAATATAGCAGTTTAATGGTGCGTTGAAGTGAGGTTGCTCAACTGTTACCTTCTTGTCAATGGAGTTGTGGTTGCGTGTGAAAGGATAAAATGCTCCAAGCTGCGTCCAGCGGACACACAGTTCCTCCTGTGTCTCCCCACCGAAGCCACAAATATCTGCTCCCACCAATGGGATTCCCAGAAGGTTAAAGGTCAACATTCCTGAGGGAGAGAGACAGAAAATCTGAGATTAAAAACTGGTATCAAACTATTAAACTGAGAGTTTCACTCATTGTTTTTCTGTAGTACAACATGCTAAATTCTGGAGTTAACGGTTCTCATCATTATTATATTTGATAAAGTCCAAGCAGTGTCGCTAATGTGAATTTTAAAAGTCACAAAACCTAAAAAAATTAACAGTTTTAATGTGACCTAAAGGCCTATAAATTTCACTGGCAAGTTTGCATTTGCTAATCAACATAGTAATAATCGTTATCACTTACAGCTGCATTAATTTATTTTGACTACTTGGGGGCAGAAGAGCAACAAGCTGACCGAAGTGCTGCACTGATGTACAGCACTCTCAGCTTGTAGCTTAATTTTTATGGCTAACATGTTAGCAAACAATTGTTTACTGAAAAATGCATCATACACGTGTCTATATGATCTAACCTGCTATAGAGGTGTAAAGGTCTTTCCACTGGCTCCTATTATCTCCCAGCCAGTGACCAGAATACATCCCCTGACTGGGGAAGGTGGAGCGAGAAATTACAAAAGGTCTCTTTGCCACAATCCGTTTCAGAGCGCTGGAGGAGTGCAGAAGGAGATGGTCAACAGAAATTGTTCAGATAGCAAAGTAGTGCTTTAGTGTTTGGTGTGTATTTCACTGGTCCTGACCTTGCAGAGGCCTTAGCTTCCATCAGTCCATAAAGGCTGTGCATGTTATAGTGTATGGACTGCTTCTGTTGTGCAGTGGCGCACACCGTTTTGCCTCTCAACAGACCACCTAGTACACCTGACAGGTAAACATAAAACTTTATATTTTTACAATCATATGTGTTTTTATGTGTTTATGTTAAATGTATTACGTGATTTTTAAGTCCCACCAGGTGTATAAGGAGGATTTTCAATGCTGTTTGACGGACAGCCGTTAGTGGATCCATCCAGGAAATTTGACGGCTCATTCATGTCCTAAAAGTGATTGAGACAAACATTGGGAAGAAGATATCATGAATTGCTGAGAATAACTAGAGTAATGCTAGTTAAGTCACAGTTTAGTCTTTTTCCGATAATGTCACCGACTTCCATACTCACAATCCATAATCCATCAAAGGGAACCTTCTGGTGGAACCTCTGAAGGTTGTCGTACCACCACTCATGTGTCACATCATCAGAGAAATCGGGATATGCTGTCAGACCAGGCCACACCTGGAGGAAAAGGGACAGAGGATTTTATTTCTAATTCACCCAAAATGTTTCCTTCTGAAAATGAAACCCAGTAGAGCGAGCAGTAACTGGGGCTAGTGATCATTTGTGAAATGTAAGAAAACATGTAAAAAAAAAAAAAAAGATTTAAATGTTGGGGCCCTTTCATGTCACATTAAACTTGATCTATATGAGGATACGGTATTTAACATACCCCATTTATTCGTGTTTCTTCCTTTTGTTCCTGATGTCTAGCTAATGTGAATACATTCTGAAATACACCTTATGTATATTATCTTTTAAACTGTTTCATAGGTCATTTTAATATATTGACGTCAATGAAAAACGTAAATAAAATATAAAAAAGCTGAGATGTAATTTGCTAATGTTGTGACTCATATCTCACCTTCCCAATAAGTGTTTTTCCTTCAGCATCTTTAATGAAAACTCCTCTCTTCAGTCCTTCATCGTACGGCCAGTACGAGCCCTCAGGCTGAGTGCTGCTTATACCTGGGTCCTGCGGGTTGAGACACAGCAGTCACATACACACATGCACTAAAACAGACTAAAAACACACATGAATTCCAGATCAAACTCCTGCGTACCAGGATCATGACATAGCGCTGGTCATGAGCGTGCAGGTCTTTAACCAGTTCAGGCAGTGTGGCGAAATTTGTCGAGTCAAAAGTGAAGTCCATAAATCGGTCCATGTAGTCGATGTCATTCCACTGGACATCCTGTGAGGACACCAACAAGCAAATAATTGTTTCACAAAAGAACATAACAAAATACTGACATGGTCAAACAACCTGCTGATTCCATTTCACCTGAGGTATCCCAGAATTCCTCATGGTCTTGACAACCTCCCAGGTATTGTCACTAGTGTTGTAACCCCAGCGACAGAGATGGTATCCTAAAGCCCAGTAGATGGGCATCGATGGGAATCCTGCAGCAAGACAGGGGAGATGGAGAGAAGGAAATGCAAACTGAGGAAGACATGAAGATACTCGGATACAACTGACATTGTGAATGAGTTCACAAATCTTTGGTGAAATGTATTTAATCTGTTTTATTTAGCCATTTCAAAAGGTGTTCCATCAGTACTAACAATCTCTAGTAGGAAATGTAGTAGGTGTGCACAATAGCTACTTCAATGGTAGCAGGGCATTATTTTACGTTTTCCTTATCGTCAATAACTCCCATAAAAGGAACAAAACCAACAGCAAGTCCATCCACTTGTTTTTATGTGCATTTTCTACTGCCATATATTATTTGATAATGTATTAAACAGGTTTATGTTCACACTTCAGACTCATGTACTGTCCACATGCCCAAATTTCATACACTCCTACCAACCTATGACTTCCACATACTGTTCAATAACTGAACCAGGATCAGGACCAAGGAAGATGTAAAAGTCAAGGATTCCCCCAACAGTGCGCCAGGTGAGGGCTGGGGCTGGCTGGAGGATGACATCTGATCAAATAGAAGAAACGCTGATTAAACATTGTTTATTAGAAAATCCTACTGAACAAGCTAAGACCAGGGTCGTTCACATACAAGTCTATGAAGTCAGACAGCACAGACGTGCAATAAGCACATGGAATGTAAAGAATAACTAAGAATAAAATGTACAGTTATGTAAGTGTGGTAAAATAAGCAGCTGATTGTCACTTCCCCTTTGTGGAGAAACACGTGCAAATAAAACAAGAACAAATATCTGTTACAACATTAAAAGGAAATATTTAACATTCCTGACATTGGCCGCAAAGTGACATTAAACTGTAACCTTTCAGCTGTAATTCCCCATAAATCAGTATTTGAAAATACAACATGGCATCTACAGCAGATGAACTATATCTTCACATGACACTGGAAAGTCAGTATGTACTACTGGTGACGCTGCAGTCCGGCTGAACTATTGACTCAGAAGAAAGTGCATGTGGGACTTCTGCTCCTATGTACTGCTCAGTGTTGTCATGTGATCAGCTTTGAAATCCTGGGTGTCTGCAAATTGTTCTGCTGCTGATGTCCATCAACTCCAACACTAATGTGCATTACTGCACGTAATGAAACCTCAAGTGGAAGCATGAGAGCAAC